ATGACGATCTGTAACCAACAAGTCAATCTTCACTCCACTGTCTTCGAGATTCTTCACTGCTCTTATAAGGCCTTCTCCATGGCATGGCTTGAACTAACTTTATTAGACTAAAGATAGAAAATAAATTTGCTACATGTTGGAAATATTAATATTCATCTTTGCACAATGTGAAAGTGGTATATTCAATGAAGAATTTAATAAAAAAATAAAATGAAAATGGGAAAGCTGCCAAAATTATGAATTTTATTATTTTAATAATTCACCTGCACAAGTTGAACATCCAAGGATTTTCCCACTATTGAGCTCCATTAGTGTATAACAGCCATATTTTGCTGAGTGACCGGGTGAATCACACCGTCCATCACCGCCAACAACAACTTTCAGGCCTTCTTTTAATCCTTCAATCCACTTTGATTGACTATCTTTCCATAATTTCTCTATGCTCGGCAACAGAAAATTATTTTGGTGAACAAAAAAGGTGTGCGAGGATATGCTTGCACATCTTAAATGTTTCAAAAGTTGCAATGATTTTGCAGCACATGATCCGGAAAACAAGATAACTGCCGAAAGCAACACATTTCCAGCTGGGGTGTTCTTAATCATTGGTTGTGAATCCCATACCCTTTTGAAGTCGCAAGATGAGCTAAGTTGGCGTATGCGGCAAAAAGTACCTTGTCACACTAAAGGTGAACTGTAATGATGAGGCATAATGGGGTAACAGACAAATAATAGTACACTGCAAAAACAAGTTAAATTATAAAAGTAAAGTCTTTAATAAATAAAATTCCGTATGCATCTTCTCTACAACATAATAGTTCTTCCTGACGGTTTATCGTTGTACATATACGGTAACATAACTATTCAACTCTCATGGTATCGGTCAGTAACAGGCACAGGTACAGACACAGGTGGCACTATAACAAATAAAATCAATTTTCTAATAATCACCATTCATTTCATTACAATTATTCATTAATCAAGCCTATGATAAGTATAACAATTTACTAATTAGTAAAACAAAATATAATGTATTTGTACTCAATGAACATCTAAACTGAGGGCTGTCTTGACGACACATCCCTTACGTGACCGTAAGTAGTTCGTATCGTTTGAGGTGCTAATTAAAGTCATGCTTAATTGCTGCCATTATAAATACGCAAATTATAGCGCTAGATGATCGTTTTAACCGTGACAATTAACCCCAACCCAAGTTAAATGCACCGCTACTTAACAAAATACACTTACATTATCTTAACTACATATAATCAATCATAAACATCAATATGGATAACAGAGAGCAGAAATTCCAAATCAAATATTTTCTGGCCAATTGTAGGCATATAATCAATGTAGGCATATATTCAACTTTCTTATATATAAAAAAATACATTTAATTTCATACAAGCAAACTCATTCTGATGTTACATTTATATACGACTTAAATAATCTGCTCCGACATTATTTACTCCTTTTATGACCCTGACTCGGTATCTGAAAGGTTGTAAAATAGAGGTCATCGTAAGATGCGACCATTTGCCACCTGTGTTTTTCTAAGAGATGTGAGAGGCTGGTGATCTGTTTCGATCACAAACTCTCTACCATAAAGGTAGGGTTCAAATCTTTGCACTCCCCATATAATTGCAAGACATTCCTTTTCAATAACCGAATACCTCTTTTGGGTCTCATTGAGTTTCTTACTCGCATATGAAACGGGAAATATTTCTCCAGCCGTTTTCTGGAGTAATGCTGCACCAATACCTGTGTTGCACGTATCAGTCCTTAAAATAAATTCTTTGCTGATGTCGGGCAATTGTAAAAATAGGGCTTAAACACAATTTTCCTTTAAGAACTGTAAACGCCCTTTCTAACTCATCATTCCATGCTATTATATTAGGCTGTCGTTTCTTGGTTACATCAGATAAAGGAGCGGATATAGAACCAAAGTTATCAACAAATTTCCTGTAATATCCTAAAAGTCCTAGAAATGACCTCATTTGACTTTTTGTAGTAGGTCTTTTAGCATCTTTTATTGCTTTTACTTTATCATATTTCATATTATATACTACATGTCCGAGAAATTCTACTTCTCTGTACCCTATGTAACACTTAGTTGGTCTCGCAGTTAAATTTGCATCTCTTAACCTCTGAAGTACATTGTGAAAAGTATCCAAATGTTACTCTCACGTTTCGGTATGTATTAATACATCATCAATGTAATTATGGACATTAAGTAACCCTTGTAACAATCTACGCATAACGCGAGTAAAAGTGGCTGATGCATTAACTAAACCGAAAGGCATAATTTCGAACTCAAAAAGTTCAACATGAGTAGTGATCGAAGGCCGTCAAATGCTTTGATTCTGGTGCCATAGGTATCTGCCAATAACCTTTGCTTAGGTCGATTTTAGTAAAGATTTTTGCTAAAACTGCAAATACCTCATCGGGATCTGGAATAGGTTCGGCATCAAATACAGTAAGTACATTAATTTTACGCATATCACAGCACATACGCTTCGTCCCATCTGGTTTATTAACTAGAACAATAGGACTAGCGTATGGGCTTTCACTAGGGGATATTATACCTAATGTCAGCATTTCCTGAATATCCTTTTCTACTTCTTTACGCATAGCATGTGGGATGGGATATGCTTTACTTCTTACAGGAGTATTGTTATTTAGTATTATTTTATGTTGTCCCAAATTGGTTTTACCCGGTACGTCAGTCATTGCGTCACAAAACTTCTCCATAACACTCATTACTTCCATACGTTTACTTTTAGGCAAATCCCGGCAAACATTTACATCCTTGATACTCTCCTTACATTTAAGAGGTGTCAACACCAGCTGCTCCTTTTCTCTATCAAGTACCTCACTGTTTTCACTGTTCCTTCTTACATATTTTTTTAACATATTAATACGAAAAACTTTCTCACGATGGCCAAAGTTCACTTGATAGTTAAGAGGGTTTACCTTTTGGGAAATAGGAAATGGCCCTTTCCAAGACATAAGTAATTTGTTGGAATCTGTTGGGAGTAAAACCAAAACCTCGTTCCCTATCTCTAACTCTCTAGGTTTCGCCTTTTTGTCATAATACTTCTTGAAGCGTTTACTAGCTTTATGTAATTCATTTTTGACTATTGTACAAGTGTGTTCCAATCTATCCTTCAAATCAAGAACATAGTTATAGGCTGGCTTTTGTTCACAATGTGTACGAGACCCTGTCCATAACTCTTTGATAATCATCATGGGCCCCCTGACGCTACGGCCATATAGTAACTCAAATGGTGAGAAACCAGTGCTCTCTTGGGGTACCTCCCTTTAGGCGAATAATAATGGTCTATATACCTATCCCAATCTTTCGGCTTCTCTTCGCACATCTTTTTCAACATGCCCTTTAAGTTCCATTAAATTTTTCTACTAACCCGTTACATATAGCATGATAAGGTGTTGTAGTGTAACTCTTAATGGACAACAGTCTATTAACTTCAGACATTAATTTAGACGTGAATTGGGACCCTTGGTCAGATAACACTTCATTTGGGAACCCCAATCTTGAATAAATTGAAATTAAAGCCCCAGCAATTGTTACAGTTTTTATGTTTTTTAAGGGAACGGCTTCTGGATACCTGGTAGATCCAGGTATCCAGTAAAAACTAGAATAAATTTATGGCCCCGTGTGGTCCCACTAAATCAATCCCAACTCTTTGAACGGCTCACCAATAACTGGCATACTGCCTAGGGGTACCTTAGTAACTCTTCCTTTTGGAACTGTCCGTTGACAGATGCCGCAAGATTGTCAGTAACGTCTTACATCAGCCTGCATCCCTGGCCAAAAAACAAGTTAGAATTTTATCATAAGTTTTCTTACTTCCCATGTGTCCCCCTACAATAGATTCATGTGCAATTCGAAGAACGTGATTTCTAAAACATTTAGGAACAACAACTTGTCTTATGATATTTCCCAACTCCACTTTGGGCGAGGTGAAGTCTCTAAATAAAATTTCCTTATCGTCATAAACATATTCAAATTCTCCACAGCCCCTATCCTTATACTTACCAGTCCCCGCTAATTCCCTTGGCTTGCACAATGTGGGATTTGACTTTTGTTTGGTTATCAAATCTTCTGGGGTTACTTCATCTATTGGGCTTACAACTTTTAACTTACTCACCTTTTTCACTTCATTTGCCTTAGCTTGGCTTCTAGTCATCACTGCTGCTGTTATTTCTTGTTTCTTTCTCCACTCTTTATTTGGGTCGTTTGCATCCCTAGTACCTTGCACATTCCCAATTATGAGATCACAAACAGCACTTTCCATTACCACAGCTTGCACCGATCCTACTAAAAACGGGGTATCCACATCAATTAAAGCAACGAGAAAATGTTTAACTGTACCATCTATAAGCATAACAACTTTCTCCTCCCCGGTATACTGTGCTGACTCAACATATGCACTATTAACCACAACATTTGTACAGCCTGAATCACGCAAAACTTGAACTTCATACTTACCAATATATCCAGTTTGTATCGGCATCTTATTATCGTCACCTTCACATGATACTAATTTAGTTGCAACTGGTAAATCATTAGGCTTTTTATAAACATCAGAATAAGTATTCTCTATAGAAGAACTCCACTTACCTTTTCCCATCGGATCAGCTTCTCTTTTCCCTATCATCCCCGCACTAATATTTTCTTTCTAAAACAATCACGGGCAACATGACCAACTCGATTACAAATGTAGCATCTACGAGGAGCATAAGTCACAGGACCTCCCCTTCTATACGTTTCCCTAGGACCACTATCTCTAGGACCATTATCTTTCGACATGAACAGGTTGGGTTCCCTTCCAAAACCCAGGGCTTCTAAATACTGATTAGAAAAACTTGCCATAGTTATGGAATCTTTGGGTTTTCTTTCTCTTAAGAAAATAGCATGTTCCTTAGAACAACAGGACAAAAACTGTTCCATAAGCAATGATTCTATGAGGCCATTAAAATCTTTTACGTCTGTCATCTCAATCCATCTATTTAAGTAATTTTTCAATCTATTAAGGAATTTTGTCCCATTTTCACCCGATTCGGGTCTTATTTCTCTAAATTTCTTTCTAAAGCCATCTGCCGTTAAGTGGTAAGCTTTTAAAACTACCTGTTTTACTTTATCATAATTATTAATTTCGTCTGAAGGAAGAAGAGAATATTCAAATAAAGCAGTACCCTGTAATAAAGCACCCAAACTAGTTGCCCATTCCTGATCCCTTATCCAACCCTGGGTGGTGGCATAACGTTCAAACCTACTTATGTAAGCATCGATATCATCTTTTTCGGGATTAAAGGGTGGTAATTTAGGGGGTTTACCCTTGGAATTAGAAATAATTGTATCATTAGCGGCTACTTGATGTGCAGCCTACAAGTTGTAATTGAAATTGCAATATTTTAACTTTTTCTGCCTCCTTTTTCAAATCTATATCAGCCTCAACACGCTTTTTATCCAATTCAATCTCAAGATCAATCTCTTTTCTCGTCTTCCCTCATCTCTGACCTAAGTGCTCTCTCTACATCTCTGCTCATTTAAATTCTGTCTCTCTTCATCTACAAATACTCTTAACTCTTTTCCCGATAACTCCTTACCTATTTCTATCAACTTTTCTACTTTCAAATGAGATGCCATATTGATGCAAATTTAACCGTTACGTTAACAACTTTACAATGTATATCTTTATGTTCGTATATTTACTTATTAAGTCTTTTGCATGTACAATTATTATGTCGAATAGCATTTATTACCTCCGCCTCTACCTTATAATTTCCCGGACGAGCCCCCAAATTGTCACACTAAAGGTGAACTGTAATGATGAGGCATAATGGGATAACAGACAAATAATAGTACACTGCAAATTAAATTATAAAAGTAAAGTCTTTAATAAATAAAATTCCGTATGCATCTTCTCTTCTCAACAACATAATAGTTCTTCCTGAAGGTTTATCGTTGCACATATACGGTAACATAACTATTCAACTATCATGGTATCGGTCAGTAACAGGCACATGCACAGGTACAGACACAGGTGGCACTATACAAATAAAATCAATTTTCTAATAACCACCATTCATTTCATTACAATTAATCATTAATCAAGCCTATGATAAGTATAACAATTTACTAATTAGTAAAACAAAATATAATGTATTTGTACTCACAATGAACATCTAAACTGAGGGCTGTCTTGACGACACCTCCCTTACGTGACCGTAAGTAGTTCGTATCGTTTGAGGTGTGTCGCATGATTTAGCATACTTTGTTTTTATACGGCGGTACACCTCACACGATGATTACGCTAATTAAAGTCATGCTTAATTACTTCCATAATAAATACGCAAATTATAGTGCTAGATGATCGTTTTAACCGTGACACCTTGGACGGAATAAACGGTACTGTCTATCTGTGCACTGCACATTGCTCCAAAAGGCTGCAAGAAGCTGGTCTTAAAAAACCAGAAACGTTCGTCCTTTGTAAAGGTCACCCTGCACATAGTCTCTGTAAAAAACCAAAAATAGAAACAATGGTAATTTAAAACTAATAACATAAAATATGATTTAACAATAACAAACGTCAATTAAATGTTGAATTGTCACACAACAATAAAAACAAAATACAACTTACACATTTCCTTTATACACCTCAGGCTCCACATCAATATCCTCCGATGGATCATAATCTGGGTCATTGAGATCGTCCTCTGTGTCATTGTTAACGTCCTCATCCTCTGCCTCCTCCTCTGTGTTGCTTTCTGTGTCGTTATCAGTGTCATCCTCAGTGTCGCTTTCTGTGTCATTATCAGTGTCGTCCTCAGTTTCATCCTCTGTATTATTGTCTTCTATACCTACAGCAAAACCACTTTCATTATGTTGCTTCTCTGGAAATATCTGCATACCTAAAACAAACAAAAACAAAACAGTGATAAACCAATGTTTTGTGCATACATTTTATTGACACACTGATATAAAAGTATTTAGGTCATTGAAACTTTATTCACGATAACATTTGTTCAAGCAAACTGTTAAATTTTGTCACCCTTGAGTTTTTTCATAAATTTGTGATATACTGTAGTGATATAATTTATAAAACCAATTGATGAGAACTATTTGTTTTAAAGGCCCGACATTAATTAGGCCATATATATCTAAATTTACCCTGATGTATACTAACATTATTCGCATGGCTGTTACTGCACCCAGCAGCCACACATTTAGGCATTGTTTTAGAACAAAGTACAGTACTGCCTTCTATGGTTGTTTATCAACAACAATGTCAATACGATACAATTCGTCGTCGAGTCAGTCAACAGAGAGTGGCTGTAAAGTTGGGGCAGCTTTCACGTCATATCCGTTACAGGTCAACTTGAGGTTAAATTCGGTAGGCGGGGCTTCGAAGCCAAAACTGGCTTAAAATATGCCATTAACAATCATTTTTTTGACAAAACGCAAAAATAAATAATAAAAAGGCAACAAGGTATTGTTTTTTTATCATATATTTTATTCATTTATAATGATTTGAAGCAAACTTGGTTTGATCACCCTTGTAATTCTTTAATTAGATTTCAAAATTTGCTGTGAGACCTATTTGTTTGTTTGTTTTTTTTGTGTAAATTTCAAGATGTTGCTCACTGAGATGCATGTTGTTAAACTATAGCTGCTCCGTGAAGTCTGGCTGAGGTTATCATCAAAGAGTATTTTTTCAAAGCGTAATCTTATTTCATAATGTATGAGGTTCAGGAAATTCGTTTGGTTTTCAATAAAATATGTCTGCCTTAATACCGGCAGTACTTTGAATATAATCATCCAGATGATGCCTAATTGTATTTATTTACGATCTATTTAGAGTTTAAATTATTACTTGATCTGGGCCGTTTACATCGTATGAGTCAATACTCTATACGATCGTTTGAAATTTCGGTACATAGTCTATTTTATGAACAAATACGTTAAGGAAACGTTCACAATTACACGGACGTACAGGTAAGAGTAGCACTCAATAAAATAGTAAAAAATCGTGCAATCCGATGTTTTTATACCAGTCTCCTTCGCTTTGACGGTGATCGCTTATTTACCAAAAATAAGATGAGCCGCACATCGACACGGTTTTAGTGTACGACGTCACACTTTAAAAGTCTAGGTCATGCTGATTGGTTGATACAGTACATGTAAAATGAATGATAACATGTTTTGCGTACTGCCTGACTGAAGATAATGGGCTGTACAAGTTGTAAATAATTGGTATTGGACGGAAACCACCTTCCTGCCGCTTACAAAATCTACTCGCGCTATCAAATGACCTTGTCGCACTGAGCGCGACAAAAGCCCCTCTCCCACTAGGGGTTTTTTCAGCATAGGAGTTACAAGAGTTTGCCGAGTGGCTAGCTCGGCGAACTCGGCAAAAACTCGTGGGCGATTCGGGAAGCTCGGGGAGAACTCGTACCTACTCGTAGCAGCTCTGAACTCGTGGCGCCAATTTTGAATTTTGAATTTTTAGCGCTACGAGTTGACAACTCGTAGTAAACTCGAAGGACTCGTAGGTAACTCGTGGAGTACTCGGGGTACTCCTACCTAACTCGCCCACTACTCGGGAAACTCGTCGACGGTTTTGTCACCCACGAGTTTGATGCGAGCACTCCGAAATGAGTACGAGTTAAGTACGAGCGCACAGAGTTGGCTACGATCACCAGGAGCGTTTGGTACGACTTGATTTCGTGATACACGTGGCGTGTCAACACAACACCAATATGTCAGCAAAAAGAAGCAGAACTAAGAACATATCAAACAAAATGAAGGAGAGAGGTATACCAGATGCTTCTGACACTGTTACGCAACTTGTGGTGGAGGTAGATGTTCATCAGGAAGATACTAGTTACATACAGGAAGACCTGGATGTTCAGGACGAAGAGCACAGTATGAATCAAGACAACGATGAAACTGCCTCGAGCCCTAGGAGCCCTAGCCCTCCGCCTTCAGCTGTAGATACCTCATCAGAGAATAGACCTGAAGATTCCAAAAAAAAAAGAGGGAGCGGGCTTATGCATTTACCGAACAGGAAGAGGCGGCCATCGGGGAATGGTATTGTGACAATAGCTGTTTATATAACAAAAGACACAGGGACTTCAAAAATGCTGACAAAAAGCGACGTCTTATGGAAGAGAAAGCCAATTCATTTGATCCTCCATGCACTTGTTAGTTTGAAATTTCGTTTTATAATCTTTAGAACAAAGTGTACGCTTATAATTTTTGGTAGTAGGACAGTATGTTTATAGTACAAAAATAATGTTTTATATATTTATATTATAGCCTATGACTGATTTAAAGTTCTAGACTTGTTTAAAATTTTCTTTTATTAATACTGTATAGGCCTACTAGTTTATAAACTAGGCCTAAATATATATTACTGTAGACAAATTAACATGGCTATAAAATAACAGACGGTAAAAATAAAACGTTTATTCAATATTTTAGTTGGTAATGCACTCACAAGCTCTTTACATGTAGGTCTAACCGTTAAATATACGTATACATGCATCCATGAAATAACTGTAGGCCTATAATAATGTAAATATGACGCAAATTGTGTACATAATTTTGGGGTTTTTTTCAGACAAGCAGTTGAAAATGTTTTTAGACTCCATGAGGTCCCAGGTGGGCAAGATCACCAAACGAAAGTCTGGCCAAGGGACACAACTGATGTTGGACCGTGATGGATGTGTAGTTCAAACCTTCGGCTTTCTGAAAAAACACATTGTCCGGGTCCCAAGCAGGCCTACTGCTAAGGTGTGCTTTAAAATGCTATGCGTAAATAACATACTGTTAATTATTTAGTTTTTACAAATGCACAAAAAATAGTGCCATTTTTTATTTTACTGACATATACCTGTCTCTTATACACATCTAGATGTGTATAAGAGACAGGGCTTATGCATTCACCGAACAGAAATGGTATTGTGACAATAGCTGTTTGTATATCAAAAGACACGGAGACTTCAAAAATGCTGACAAAAAGCGAAAATTTCATCTTGTATATGCAAAACGTTTTACTGATGGATTTTTGACAAAATTAATGTAAAAATAATCATCTGTAATTATTTTTCTGTGTCTACACAAAAACAAACAAATAAAATACAAAAAACAATCTGAAATTTTTATTTGGGTTTGCATGTTTAAAAAGATTAAGATTTCAAAGTGTAAAATATTTTTGTATTGTCTATAAATACTTTAGCCAAAGAGCAAAAAAATGCTTCCTCTCCCTCCTGTCGGAGAGAAAAAGCACAATTCGTCGGGGAGAAAAAAAAATGTATTTTCTACATATTAGTAGACTCTAAAATCGAGTAAATAAGCCTTTGAAACCCCTAAATTGCCAAAATTTTGAATGCTAAAATCTATAACTAACGTTGCAGTTCCCAGATATTAAGACATCGGATTCCATGGCCATACCCAGTGGTGGTGATGATGACGATGATGAGAAATAGGAGGAGGAGGATAATCGTCAGGGAGATGCTCCTCATGCCATGGAGACGGTTAGCACAGATTCGATCTCTGATGAAGCTGGGACCAGGGGAAAGGTCAAGACCAAGAGCAGGCCAAAATGCAAGGCTACTAAAACTAAAGAATCTTAGACAATTTTAAACTGATGCATATTTTAATTTTATTTTAATTCGTGTAGACTTTGTGTAGATGTTCGTCTGTGAAAAGAAATGCATCGGTGTAGAGAGATGATGAGACAACATTAACTGAGGAAGTTAAGAGTTGTTAAAGAGGGAGGCGATAGCAATATTATCCTTCATTGCCTACACATTGGATCACACACACACACACCACAAAGTTCCACAATAATTATATGATCTCCAGACACAGAGGTCTTCATCCTTCTGCTTCATCACACGCAGAAACTGAAACAAGCCATATATTTTATTCGAAACAGGTATTGGCAATGACAGACAGGGAATGATAATTGTTATGCCCTTCCAGCAGTGTATGCATTTAGGGGGTGCGACACGACGTGCATTTGTCCGTATAAAGGGAAATGACCCCTTTAAAGATCCTTACACAGAATCCAGAACTTATGGATGTATTTATGATTCTTTGGAGGTCAACTGTAATCGATAACTGCATTTTAATGCGAGTTTAGAGCATTTTGTTTGGCGTTTGTTTAGCACTAGATCTGCTTTGACTGATGTCAACAGATTGCGACATGACAAATTCCTAGAGAGGTCCAGCGTCATGCCGGGAAAGCTATAGGCACTGAAGCTATAATGGAATAGATGAGTTCTGCCTCCTAACAGAAATGCCCTGAAGATGAATGTAGGATCAGGCAGTTCCTAATTCCACAACCAGTTGGCAATGGCTGGCATGAGTTTCAGTGGGCTCTATTTATTTAGCATCTACTTAAATACAACATTTTACAATACAAAGACATACAAAAACAGATAAAAATTAAGATGCTCTTACTGTATGCCACAAGAGCTTGTCGAAGTACTTATAGAGGAACCTGAAGAATCAGAGTAAAAGGAAGAGGAGAAGATTGAATTAATAAACTTGGCATATATTATATTTAATGCAGAGGAAACAGGTGATCTCATTAACAACTAATAACATACTTTGCACAAAATCATTACGTATTTTTGCTACTTTATATCAATTTGAATGGACTTATACTGAACTCCACTATTTAATATTAACTAGCAGCTAGAGCTAACACTGAATGTCATTTCTTTGGTATGGACAAGGTAAATCTTTTTTATTGCGTCATCAAAAGTATAAACTTACGTTTATTGATATTTCGTTACCATTTTGAAAAGGGCCCTCTTTTTTGAACTCATGGCACATCATAGTAAGTGCAATTTAATTCAATCATACTTTATTATTATCACCTAATTAGCCTTTAAGTGACCTTTTTTGTAAACAAAATGAATTTTCTGAGATTTTAGAAGTCATTTTGAAAAGCGCCCTCACAGGCTCGCCCACCACTATCGAACGTGCAGACAACCATATTTCGGTACCTCTATAGTTAAAGTTTCCAAAAATATTTGTCTCCAAATAATGAGTTTTCGCCTATAGATTATTTGGTGTAATTACTTACTTTCAGCAGTCTTTTCATAAGGTGACTGGTTGTCGATATCAGGTTGATCAAGTCTCAGAATCCTCAATGTTTTTCGGTTATACGGTACAGTAGCTTGTTCTGATCAATTTTCAGTAAATAAACATCCTCGTTGGCAACATTTTCTTTTGTTTTTAATCTGCACTGTGATCTTCTGCCATTAAAGTAGAATGAGTACAGTAGTTGTAATATCTCCTTCTAAGATATTTACTGTCGAGACACAATGATGATACAAATACAACTGTAGTATATTCTATACTACTATAAGCCTTTATTGGATCCTTGGTTTTACACTGTTAACTGTTCGAAGGATTAAATGATTGTGTGTTAATGACTATGATTCTACATCTTAGGAATGTTGTGGTTTTATGCACTCTACATTGGTAGGTTCATTTAGGATCGAGTTGTTATTTCCTGCATATCTAATGATATGACATCCCTCCTCTTAAGTATAGGATAGGGTATTATTTAGAGATATTTTATAAGTGTTCAGTTGTTCTATGGTAGCGTTATATATTTACAGCATTCAGTTTATACTTGATTGGTTATTTCTATCTCCTAGTCTATTAGTTTACTGTTAGTACTTGTTTTAGCTATTTAAGTGCAAGTCCAAGTAATTATAATTTATAGTGTAGGTTTATTATGAGTTTATAGTACTAGTACTATTTAACTTAGTATAAAACATACTCCAAATAAAGTAAGACTAGTCATTTTGATTCAATATTTCGATCTTTTACTAGATCATCATCAGGAATGAATAAAGATTTCAACATTACAAACATATTCCAGAGGTGTTACAGAAAATTAATGTTTTGATTATTGAAGTACTGTATTCAGTCCAAGTTTTAATTAATAAAGTTACAAGATTGTTCAAGTTTCTTAGTAGCATTCCTTCTCCCTTTTGCTTTGCTCCTCGTAAGTGGTGGTGAGTAAGGTGGTATAATTGGTTGTGCTGGTTTTCTTGAGGTGTGTTGTTCGGCTCTTGGTTGCTCATTATTTGCTAGTTGTGGTAAGTTGAAGGTGGCTGGTCCGATTGGTTTTGTCTGTCGCTTTCTAAGTTGGCTTCTGTTTCGTCTGTGTGTTTGTCCGTCAGCTTCAACAATGTACGATCTTGGTGCTATATGTTTTTTGGATTACAACACCTGGTAACCATGCTTGGTTGTGATGTTGTTGAATGAGAATTTTCTGGCCCTCTGATAGTGGTGAAAGGGCTTTGGTTCTGGTCTTGTCGTGGTTTGATTTTTGATTGTCTTGTCGTCGTTTAAGGTGTTGTACGTATTCACGTTGTGGGTCATCTGATTTTATTATGACAGGCAGGTTGGTTTGTAGATGTCTTCTGTAAATAATTCTCCCGGACTTGGTAATTTTGTATCAATGGGTGTTGCACGCAGACACAGTAATGCCATGTCTGGGTCTGAACCAGACGTTTTGCACTTTTTAATCGTTGATTTTATGATCTGGATCATCCTCTCAACAAAGCCATTTGATCTTTGGTAGTGTGGTGAGCTTGTTTTGTGCACTATCTTCCAAACTTTGCAGAATTGCTTATATTGCTGGGAGGCAAATTGTGGGCTATTGTCCGAAAAGATGATGTGAGGTGAGCTTTGTTCTGATATTATTCCTGTTGTCGCCTGTATTACAGCACTCCTTGTAACATCCTTTGGCATCTTCCTTTTGAAGAACATTTTGCTGTAATAATCTGCCACTATAAGATAGTTGTCTGAATCTAAGTGGAATAAGTCAGTTCCTAGAGTGTGCCATGGACGCTCTGGAATCTCTGTTGGTATCAGAGGTTCTTTGGGTTGGGAGTTTTGGAAGATCTGACACACTGTGCATCGCTCGCACATCTTCTGGATGTCGCTGTTTATGCCAGGCCAGTAGACTGCGGTCTTTGCTCTTAACCTGGTCTTAGTTATGCCTTGGTGACCTGTATGGAGTTGGTCAAGGTCATTTTGTCTGGTATGATTGCTTGTTGCCCTTTTAGTATGATGCCATCCTCCTGCGTCAGTTCATCTCGCATTGACCAGTATTCTTTAACAATTTTGGGAATATCCGACTGTTTATCTGGCCAACCGTGGTGTATGATGTCTGCCAGGACTTTAAGTGTTTTGTCTTCTTTAGTGTGGTGTCTCAGTTCGTCTAATCTGTTTTGACTGAACTGCACTGGGAAAACTCTTATATCTAGTTCAGTCATGCTGTCATCCTCTTTCTCGCTTGTCGTAAAGCTTCCAAGTCGTGATAGTGAGTCTGACAGTATCATGTCCTTTCCAGGTGTGTATTTTACCTTGCAGTTATATCCTTGCAGTTGCAACAACATTCTTTGAAGCCTTGGAGGTGCGGCATTTAATTTTTTTAGGGCAATCATTTCAAGTGGTTTAAGGTACGTATGGATGGTGAATTTATTGCCGTAAAAATATGTGTGAAATTTTTCACATGCAAAACTGCTGCTAAAAGTTAGTTCTCGTTCAATATTGACATAATCGTCTTTCAGTGCCCGTGAGTGCTTTACTTGCGAATGCTATAGGAATTTCTTCATTTTTGTTGTTTAGTTGAACTAGTGCTGCACCAAGTCGAACCTGACTGGCGTCTACTTTTATGATCACTGGTTTATCTGGGTCAAAATAGGAAAGTTTTACTTCGCCGCAGATTGCTTGTTTGGTCCGGTCGCACACTTGGGTGTGTGTTAGAGTCCACTTATACTCGGTATCCTTTTTCAATAGTTGTCTAAGTGGCTCTGTTAAGTCTGCTAGGTGTGGGATGAAGGGACTCATGTAGTTTGCGATTCCTAGGAACTCTTGTAGTTCCTGTTTGTTCTCTGGTGTTTTCAATTGTTGAATTATTTCAACCTTCTTGGGGTCTGGCTTCGCCCCTCGCTGCTGTAAACTATGCCGAAAAATGTTATCTCTTTTTGTTATATGTTACATTTTTTGGAGTTGAACATTAACCCTGATTTTTTTGCTACCATCATCAATGTGTGAAGATTCGCATCGTGTTCCTTTTCAGTTTTTCCAAATATTGCTACATCATCAGCAATTCCAATTGTACCGGGACATTTCTCTAGAATCATGTCCATGCGTTGTTGGAAAACGTCTTGGGATACGTTAAGTCCAATTTGTAGTCTTAGAAAGCAATATCGACCTTTTGTTGAGTTAAATGTTGTCAATTTTTGGGAAGCAGTGTCTAAATGAATAGACCAATAGCAATTTTTGGCATCTAGCTTTGAAAATTATTTCGCCCCGTTGAATGTGTATGTCAGTTCCTCAAGGGTTGGGAATTATGGTGGCTCCTTTTGATTGCCATATTCAAGTCTTTTGGACCGAGACATATCCTTACTGATCTGTCAGGTTTGATTGGGTAGGTTAGTGAACACATCCAATCTGTTGGCTCATCTATTTTTTTTTATGATGCCCTGCTTTTCCATATCGTCCAGCGTAGCATTGATTTTATCAGCCAATTTTATGGGTGTCTTCCTACAGGCATGCACAAATGGTGTAACATTCGGGTAGGTTACGATATGACACGGTTTGCGAAAATTTCCTATACCATCAAATCTGTCTGGATATCGGTGATTGGGCAAGATTGGTTTGTTTTGTCAGTCTCGACGCTGCAGTTAAATTTTATGAGATCAAATTTTTGAATTGTCGGCAATCCAAAAATCGGCCTTTGCAGTCCACTACAAAAAAATGTTTCTTCTGCCCAATCTCCGTGTACAGGATGTTGGCTTTTTATTGGGAGTATTCCATAGCAACAAATAGGTTCATCGTTGTATGCTGTAAGTACAATGGATGATCGTTTCAGAGCTCCTTTTTTAGGACGTCTGTCATTTTTTACATGATTTGGGTACATAGCTTAGAAAATCCTCAAGGGCAGTGTATTCCCCTCAGCCCCAGTGTCGACTTTTACTGTCAAATCTGCTTTGACGTGTTGTATACCTGGTAGCTGTATATCCAGTTTGGTGAATTTCTCCGTAGATGTGGTACTGTAATGTGTACCACGTTGAAAGATAATTGTTCCATATGTTGTTCTAACACATCGAGATCATCATCAGAATCATATATTGCTGCATGTACTCCACTCCTATTTTTCAATGTTCCAGTTCCCCGACTTTTCAATCTAGGCCTTTGTTTTGCCTTGCAATGCTTTTTGTTATGACTGTAATAGTCCTGATCATGTTGATTAGGATGGTTAGTTGATCTGCACATTGTTGCCCAGTGGTTCATTTTTCCACATTTCCAACACGTTGTGAAATATGCAGGGTATTTTCGGGGAGGGTGTATACACCCACATTTATCATGCTTATTTTGGGTCATGTGGCTAATTTTTGCAGATGGGTTATTTGACTGAAAGTCATTAAGTTGCTTGTGATGCAAAAGTGTAGCTTCATGTGCTCTTGCAAGCGTGATAGCCTCATCTAAGGTATATTCGATATTTTTAGTAAGCAACTCCTTTTGGAGGTCTTTGAAGATTGTTCCAATTGTCATTTGTTCAATAATTCTACTATCATTTTCTGCATCGGCAAATGCACATTTCGCTGCATGAAATTTAAGTTTAGTTATATAATTGTCAATTGACTCATTCGGTTCTTGTTTTAATTTTTTGAGATACATCATTGAAACACGAAAATTGGTTTGCGGTTCTATTTTTTCCTCATATTTTCCCCATATAACAGCAATGTCATTCTTTTCCTCTTCTGTTAATCCCCACGAATCATAACGTTTTAAGCCTTCTTCGCCCACCATCAATAGTAGGTGGTTTATCCTTTCGTACGCTGCGATATTTTTTACGTCAAAATATAATTCAGTGCGGCGCTTGAACATTCGAAAAGTGTCTACCACATTTGGCGAGTTTCAATCCATGAAAGGTTGTTTATCAGCCATCGTTGCTTTGTTCACACACAACAAACACAAAAATCCTTTAAGCAATTTACAGCACAAAGGTTGTTGAAGTTACTTTACTATCACCGCTGCCACCATGTAATATCTTCTAAGATATTTACTGTCGAAACACAATGATGATACAAATACAACTGTAGTATATTCTATACTACTATAAGCCTTTATTGGATCCTTGGTTTT